TCGCTGGATGGGGAATGCCGAAATGCAAGCGAATGTGGTCTAAGTGAGCGAAAATTCTTTATATCGCATAATGTACTCGTAATATTAATATGAGTACGAAGAAGGGAAAAATCGAAGTATCGCTAATTGCATAGTTGAACTACTCCATATTATGACTACAATCGACAAATTTAACAGTATTGACAGTCTACATGCTTCAAGAGGAAATTTGATGTAGTCGTGCAAGAAATCTGAACAGTAGCAGTGATCATATCATTGCGTTTGCAACCATACATGATTGTTTTTTCTGCCATGGTAAAATCGTTCATCGCATAACTGTTAGCGAGAGTTGATACAAATCGCAAATTCCGGTAGACTAAATTGTTTCTGCTATCAATTTCACTGCTACGTTCACCGTCTGCAATTGGCTCGGCATACAGAATTTCCCAGAACCGATACACCGTGAGAAAATACATATTACGGGGGCGGGTGGAAACAGGAGACGCAACATCGGAAAACTGGCGAATACACCTGTCCGAAATCATTTCTCAGCATTTTCTGGTTGTTTTCTGAATAAGTACTAATACCTATAATTTCTTCTGAAGAATTTTTTACAACTGTTTGACCACACCGAATTCTTTATTACTTTTGGACATTAGCCAAGTCGGTCCGGTTGTCGCCACTGCAGTCTATACTTACTGGTGCGCATTTGATCGGGATTGGCGGCCTCTATACCTTTTTTGCAGCATTTGCCTTATGCGGTTGCACGGCGACCTTAGCGCTTTGTTTTCACATGACCGGGACCGGGTTTTCACATGTCGTATGTAAAATTTTATCTGCACCGGCAAGGCGGCAACTACCGGGCATACAACAGGCATTACGTTTTTTTTACTTCAACGATAGTTGCCTTTATCGCCACGTTCCGCAAGGTTATAAATATAACCCTACAGAATACGAAATCGCTCATTTCATCGAATCATTTTCTACGCGCCTAGTGAAAAGTTTTTCCAGCTGAAGCGGTGCATTTTCTTGATGCATATACAGTCACGGCTAATTTTCCGTACAACGATCGTCTTGGCTCTGCCGATCTCGAAAACAACATTTGCATTCTGATGTTGACAGTAGGCAAATATCGTTTTTGCAATCTGCAAACAAGACTAAAGAAGAGGATGTTGAGGAACTATTCCATACCGTACACAGGCGGCAAACTAACCGTTTTTCGTCTAATGCAGGTAAATAATTATTATGTGCATGGAAAAGCCTTTCCTCCGTTCCTACGTTGCGCTATTACTTGTTTTTGCTTTTTTTCCTATTTTTTTGCGGCAAAATCTACGAAAACATAGTGTAAATTAGCAGTAAAATTGTTCTATGCTTATTCCTTTTCGGATCCTCAACGCAGAAACCAATCGCATCGGACAGTAGTGAGACGAAGCAGCAAACAACCGGATGACTTCCGTCAGGAACTCCATCTCCCGCATTTCTACATACCCCAACCGAGAACAGAGCAAATCAGTTCAGTGTTCCGTTGCCGGTTGGGGAATGTCGAAACGCCAGAGAATCCGCAACCGTGGGCCGTCGTAGCGCGCCAGGCAGTTTTCCAGTTGATAGGCAGTACATCCGATCGGCAGTTTTACTAATTTAAGATGAAGGATCTAAAATATTTACGATAGGTACAGATAAACCAGTTCATGGGAAAAATCTGCTCAATACAACGCTGTTGGCAATTCATCAACGCAGTGGGACTGATCATATCATCCAAATCAAACGCATAGGTCTATCGGCTCTGGGTGCTAACGTCTTTATGAAGTCCACTGTAATTATTAGAAAAACGCTTTCTTAGCGATTCCCCATTCCATCCCTTCGCTAACGAGCTAACCGACTCAAAGCAGTTTAACACTCGCACAATTCCACGTTCGATTGGCACTGCATATTCCTGTGTGACGTAAAGGCAGATGGACTGATTTCACTACTTATTCCTAAATTTTTAACAGAAGGAAGACAGAAAAAACACACTTCGTGAAAGAATAAAAAAGGAAAAAATGGGAATTTTAAAAACTTGCATGATGAAAACTGCATCGCACCGCCACAAAGGGCGTTTGTAATTGCCTCAAGCGCCGGAAGTCCTTGATTTTGTTTTCTTATAATTTTAGCTTGGAAATTTTTCCGAATCATAAGTGAATGTAGATAGAAAACTGATTTTCGCAAGAACACAGGTCAACCTTGAGGAGACCGGACATGAACGTTACGGTTTACACTTATTAAACGGCTTTAGTTGCCGAATCGGCAGTCAAAATAGTGCTATTACTAAGAATATAGTACTAACGTGCAGTGGGAGGTTACTGCCATTGACGATCTTATTAAATTACAGCGCTGCACAATAATTATGGACTCTGGACCCATACCACTGGTTGACTCAATACAAAGGTCACCGGCGCACAATGGGTACCTATGGTATACACATGTGCACTTCTTATTATTGATACTCGCTTTTTAATGTAAAAATCTGATTAATTACAACTTACAAGTAGTTCAGTGTGTTGTATCTCGCACTTAATGTTGACAGTTAGTACCTCGTATTTATTTTATTCATCGCTGTATCGGTGCCGAATGCAAGGAGTTCCGCTTCGTTTTCTGTTCGCTGGATTTTTACTCTCGCGTATTTTATGTAAGCCATGAAATGGTATTATCCATATTAATTTATTTGTACGCCTCATCAACATGCGGAGTGTAACCCATGGGCAATGGTTATCATTTCGCAAGTCGCTGAAGCGTACTAACCATCATGTGCGTAAAACACTCTGTCAATGTTTATGTTTTTAAAATGTTTAAATGCGTTCGCGTGGCATTCAAAAGCCTTAATATGAATCGATATCATATCCCAAATTTGCATGTAAACGCGTGATTATACCGTAGTATGAGTATTTAAGATCGTTTTACACCGAACCAAACAATTTTTTTGGTATTTAAGTTAATTTAAAATTTTCTGCTTATTGTAGATCTAAGAGTTTTGAAATGCACTGAGAACAATGGAACGGGGAAAAGCTAAAAAGTTCCACTGCAAAAGCGCTTTCCGGTTCCGAAAACCAAAAGATAATTTCTTCGCTTTAGAGCATTTTGTTGAAGCGTGACAAAGTTGAAAAATTTTTCAAGTTGTTCGAAAAAATTAGTTTTTTTTATTACACTGCATACTCTGCATTTGAATATTAGCTGCTCCACGCAACAGTGTTTTATAAAAAATGCCTTTTAAGGTCACCTTGAACTGAAGCCTGTAGCGGCACCAGCATCCGAGCGATGGTCCAGGGCAGATATTTTCGAAAACAAAATACATTTACCCTTTTGGGACATGTTGAGTTTAATGGTGAAATCGGTTTTTTAATTTGCTTGGCCATTTTTTCTAGCCAAATTCCACGGGGCGGCCAATCATAATATAGATCTGTTTCCTTGATAATATAAAGGAATAAATATTAGGTATAAGTGTCCAATATTATGCAGTTTCTATCAGTCACTATTATAGATAGGAGAGTCAATACTAAAAGGAAAAATGGCTCAGTGCTTCAACATCCCAGCGTGTAATTCACTTCCCCACTTCTGAATACTCTCGAACTATTTCTAGCTTCGCTTCGGTCTTTTAGTGCGAGCGAGCAGCGGTGCACTTCCCTAGTTACTTTATCCGTTCGGTGTTCCGAGTATTAAGCTCAAGGACTCTGAAGTAATCGTAATAGTAATACTACTGTAATAGTCTTAAGGGAAGTGGGCCGGTACATGGTACCGAATTCGTGTACATGCACGAAAACTTACACTTTCGCGCACTCCCATACACATTTTTGTTTCGATTTATGAGGTTTTGTAGCCAGAAGATTTGTATACACTGGCGTGAAAACCGTTTGTGCGCGCAACATCCGGTTCGGGAGTTATGGCTGTTACAAAATTCCAAAAAGTTTAAATCGTTCAGGTGTACCAAAAGTCTCATTGTGGACCGATCTCCCTCAAATTTTGCATGTAAATGCACATAACCACAAAGAACGTTTTTACACCGATCCACTGTTCTAGCATGTTTTTCAAATTTTAAAATGAATTTCAAAAATTTTAAAATTCATTTTAAAATTTGAAAAAAAGTCACGGAAGTGTGGATCGGTGTAAAAACGATCTTCATGGACATGCGCATTTACGTGCAAAATTTGAGAAAGATCGGTCTGTAATGAGACTTTTGGTACACCTGAACGCATTTAAACTTTTTGGAATTTTGCAGCAGCCATAACTCCCGAACCGGATGTTGCGCGCACAAACGGGTTTCACACCAGTGTATACAATTCTCCTGGCTACAAAACGTCATAAACTGAAACAAAAATGTGTTTGGGAGTGCGCGAAAATGTAAGTTTTTGTGCATGTACACGAATTTGGTACCATGTACCGGCCCACTTCCCTTAATCCTTAATCTTAATGCATTATTCAGAATGCACGAATACATGGTACCAAATTCGTGCTCATGCATGAAAACTTTCGCTTTCGCGCAGTGCGCACTCCCAAACACATTTTTGTTTCGAATTATGACGTCTTGTAGCCCTATAATTTGTGTACACTGGCGTGAAAACCGTTTGTGCGCGCAATATCCGGTTCGGGAGTTATGGGTATTAGAAAATTCCAAAAAGATTAAATGCGTTCAGGTATACGAAAAGTCTCATTATTGACCGATCTCCCTCAAATTTTGCACGTAAATGCACATAACCATGAATTTGGTACCATGTTCCGGGCCACTTCCCTTTAGTAATATCAATCTTCCCTGTCGTAAATTTTGCCGATACAGTTTCTGATAAAATACAGACATGTACTGTATGTAATCTGTACATTTTGCTTTAAATAGTGAATTCGAACGATTGAAAAATGTAGAAATGAAATATTATTTAAATTATTTTCTTCATCTTACATAGTTTGGATTTTATATCACTAAAAGCACAGAAGATGCTCGACACAGCTCTGTTCATACAGTACAATGATATAAAAAGCCGGCATATAATATGAGGAAACCGCCTCAAATTACGTAATACAGTAACTGAACATACGAGTATTATGAGATTCTGAACAAGCAGTTATATTAATTCAGGTTACAACATCCGCCCTGCGCTATTCCATCCGCCGCTGACTAATGTCTTTGGTGCACAGCATCTGAGGAAACGTCCGCCGAAACTCCCAGCCCAGGGAGAACAAGATGATCAGAAGCACGGCACCTTTGATTAACTGCAGCGCATCCAACAGATCGCCAAGTGGTACGTAGACATTGCCGAAGAAGTCCACGGAGAAACAAGTGAACAGCGCCAGTAATCCCACCGTACCGTCGGTAAGGATGAAGACTACGGCGATGATCAGCACCACAGCCGTCATCCAATCTCGTCCCGTTGACTTGCGACGGTCCTGGCCAGTTGACGGCAGCGCTGGTGGAGCGACGGGTGTGGTTGGGACGATTTTCATCTCGGTGGCGTTGTTCTCCGGGTGGTGCGTCTCCTAAGCGGTTGACGGCGCCGCGTACAGTACCGTGGAGTAGCAGGGTAAATTTACATCGTCGGAGAATGTTACCGGATTTCCGCGTTCGGGTCGAAGCAGGGCGATTACCAAGGGAACGCTAGTACTTATTTAGTGGTAGCACACGCATGTACGGAATATGCATACGGCATCTAATATCATATTATATGTTGATACGAATCGAATTTAAAAAATAAATACAGTACCAGTAAGCAAAAGGCATTAAAAAGCGTGAATTTTAAAATGCATAACATAATCGAAGTGTAGTCAAATTATTGCCAGTTTCACAAAAGTACTCACAGATGAAAGTATAAAAACCGGCATATTGTCATAAAAAATGTAAACAACCAAGTTGACGTAGGTAAAATAATTCGATTTATTTTAAAAATCTCGGTAAATGTAGATGGAAAACGGCTAAAAAAGCCTTTCAGTTTACTTTACCTGAGGCGGAGCAGAAGGAAACATGGGAACAGTTTGGCCGCAACTGAAGCATACAACGTAATAATCCGTAGGTTGTTGTGATTTTTGCGCGACAGATCTGATTCGTCAATACGGTACATCGGCGCCACGTTGCCCCTTGTTGCATCCATGAATTCCGGCGCATCATGCTGAAAATTTGCAACATAGTACCGTACATTTAAAAGGCATCGTTCACGAGTTATATCGTTTGATATTCACTGAGAAAAAATGTATGTATTTTGATGAAATGTTGTATTTTGTATGTATGTATTTTGTGTTTTTGCATTTATTTCGATATTTTTGTGTTTCTTACATATTTTGATAGAAGCCATAATGAAGCGGCGCAACATACGTACCTTAAATATATCGATCTGTACACTGCAAAAAAAAGGGAATTTGCGTTAAAAAAGGTGTTCAAAGTCCTTAACTACACTGCAACACTAATGAAGAACAGACGATCATATAAGTAAAACGATTTTGTGCCCTTTCCTAAATTTCAGACTGTTAATAATAATAAAATTTATTGGAAATAATATTAAAAGATGTTGTGTTATAAAATGCCAGGCATACCAAAGCTATAACAGATTGTCCTAAAAATTACATTTACAATCATTATAGATGTCACATTCGAATATTTTTCATAAATTAAATAGTAATTATTACTGTTAGATTGTAATTATTAGTCATACAAAAATCCTTCCAAGAATCTACGATTACCTTTAATACGACGGCGGCCAGAAAATAATGTTACATATCCCGATCGCCACGATAATGATACACGTCAGCGGCATCTTGCAGAACCTAGCCGCCGTTCTGGGTAACATCACCGTCCAACAGCGGAACACCGCCAGGGCGACGGTCAGCCAGGCGGCCGTTGAATCGCAAACGATAGTAAAGTGCATACTTAAAAATTTAAACGCCATCCGCGAAAACTTCGCCATTGGGAGAGGGGCAAGAACGTTCTCAAGATGTAATGATGGAGGACAAAGGGAATATAGGTCATCAGTACCAGCGCATGCGTCGCGAGCAGGGACGTCAGGAGAACCGCTATCGGCGTTAACGGAGATCGGCGCGTGAGCACAGCGATGCTCAAGAGATTGCCGATAATCCCGGTACCGGGATTATCGGCAATCTGTGTAGCATCGCTGTGCTAATCTGCGCAACGTAGCCAGGTAGCCGTGGACTGGAGTGTAGCCGGCTTGGAAGGCCAAGAAAAAGTCTCCAGAATACGACAAGGGCTCCGCGATAGGAGTGGATTCGGGAACCGGTTGGTTGTCATAAAATAACATCGGCGCAGTTGTTGTTTCATTGTGTTCGCTGTCGCCGAACATGCTTTCCTTGATTAGGGATGATGATAATCCATTCTGAAAGCGAAACTATAAAATTTGTACGATTTAATACAAAAATACAAATGTTTAACATTTTTCAATAACCTGGTAACCTTCCTCTTCTAAAGAAGTGTCCATCGTATGTACTCTGTAGACGTTAGCATGCTATATCAGTTAAAGCGCAATACGAAGCGCAAAAGAGGATCTGACTGGAATACAAATTTTTTCTCAGCGAGTATGCCACTTCAAGGTAAAAGTTGTCACGTTGTCTTGCTGTTTGCTGGTAGTGTTAGTTTCTGTAAATAAATCGCACAGTGTTTGCTGGAAGGTACATCTATGTCGACCCGACGCCGGCGGAAGTTGCACTGTGCTTTTTCCAAATCAGCCGATTTACTTGCACGTTGCACGATGTACGATAAATGTGGAGAAAACAATTTCCACACCGATCGCTATGCCTGATTCCACTGTAGGAGTACTGTACGGCTTTCTTGTAGACGCTGAGTTAACTCGATGAAAAATTTATTTGGCTGCGTTCATTTTGCTGGCGCTGCTTGGAATTATTCCATTAATTATAACTGTCTTGCGCAAACGTTGGCGATGATGCTTTCTGTATGTTGTTTATTTTGTTAGATTATTGTTCCCTGGTTCTGTTACTGTACACACAAACAATGCAATACACAAAAGGGGGGTGCTTTATTATTTACGGACAAACACACCCGCGTACAAGCGGGAACAACCTCTAAAAAAAAATCATTTCAAATCCCGATCGTTGCCGGACGCAGTGCCAAGTGTGAGCGCATACACTGCGAACGGCTGCTATATATACTCGTACCATACACTGCACGCTGACCATTAGAATACTAACAGACCGAACAGACCACTGCGTTCCGCCCACCGTCACGAGGTCCAATAATATACAGATTATTGCCATAATCTTTCCCATTATTGTTCCCTGGTTCTGTTACTGTACACACAAACAATGCAATACACAAAAGGGGGGTGCTTTATTATTTACGGACAAACACACCCGCGTACAAGCGGGAACAACCTCCAAACCCCCAAGAGCAGAACAAAAACAACACAGCAGGTAGATGTATGGGTTGCCGAAAATTCCGAGATGAAGCGCAATTCCGATTGCGACCGCTGGAACAACCGTAACGTGGATACTTCGCGCAGGGTAACGGGCAGGAAATTCAAAAGCCGCTAACATACTGTACTAAGTTACTAACACACAGTCAAAACTGTGTCAAAACAAACTGCATGTAGCCGCTAATTGAAAGGTCACGACAAATATTTAATTCCGTCATACCGCCATCGTTATGTTAAAAATTATTGCAAAATAAAGGCAAACTAAAATGTTATGAAAACATTTTTCGCCGGTAGCATCTGGATTACGCCAAAATTATAGTAAACGCCTGATAACAGATATTTTTGCGTACATGCGAAGCCGGTGGTGTCAAGCCAAACTGCTCTAATACAGAGCATATTTAGTTGACTTGAAAATAACGATACCAGTACTCAATAATGCAAAGACATTTATTCGCACAGGCATGAGAATTAAGTCTAGCAGATTAATTCTGCTTTCATTATTCTGGCATCCCTTCACTGCTGACATATAAAGAGGTCTTTCTCTGCGAGAGTAAGCGGGATTTGTCCAACTTACCAGAGAGAAGCCTGTAAAAACAGGGTTTGCCTCACATGTCAAATCACACAACAAAAGCAAAAATCCTGCTAACCCGCATTCAGAATAAACGATAAGACATAATGCGTCGCCGAAGCAATGCAACAATGCGTCGCCGAAGCAATGCAATAATTAAACTTTCAGAAACACGAGACAATTGAATGCAGACACACTGCAAATTACAATATGCGCTACAAGCGCTCAATAATACCATGACCCAGTAATGAAAATTCCTGGTCAGACCACTATACAGAGCAAAATAAAAGGGCGACGCAGACCCGTTGAGTCTGTGCTGCCAATTCAAATTAGGACAAGTTAAATTAATTATTAGTGTCAGGAGGGCTTGCGTCTCCGGAGTCTCGGTGGTCATGACAGCCATGTCCGCGTTTCCCGCATTCGCCACACACGTGCGAATAATGACAGGAAGCAGCCGAGCGAGAGCAGTTGCCTTCTTGAAAGGCAAAACAACAAGCAAACTTGTAGCGGCCCGTTTTGGCGCCGCTACGTCCGCGAAAAGGCTGACCTTTATCGCATTTACCTTCGCCATACTCTGTTCGGCGATTAATCGTATGAAAATGCTTAGAACTGATAGTATTCCGTGCTTGGTAATCGCATAACGAAAACCCTTCATTTTCAGCGGAATGTCGAAAATCGGTGTCGAATTCAAGCACAGCATCATCCGTAAAATTACAACGCATAGAAGCCAAATACTCATTATATTCAAGATGCTCCAGGAGCGTTTCTGCATACTGCCCAGACACAGTTTTGCACAATTTAACTGCTGTGCGCCAACTATGAACAGAAAACTCGTCGAGTGAAAGATCAAGAGGAGAAACATGCTTGCTTTTCGACCCTGGTTTAGGGCACGCCAGCTCGTGCGGCCTCTGCAGTTTACGTGCTTCCGTTGGGAAACAGTTAAAACTTTTGGCCATAAATTCAGACTTATCACTTTCAATTGAAATGACAGAAACAGGGCGGTCTAAGCATGATGGCTTCAGATTATCATACTCACCCGCGGTACCATTGCTGCGGGGAAGATTGACCGCTTTGCGGTCGACGTGACCTTTGATTGGACGCTGGCTGGGACTGCCGTGCTGTGGGCCGGCTTCACGGCATGGAGAAACTGGCATGACTGGCTGTTCCCGGCCGCGGCTGCAATTCTCGGTACGGATAAATCGCTCCAGGATGCATCGAACTCCTTCACGGCTCACAATATCCAGGTTGCTCGGAAACTTGGAAGATTCTCCCAGGCACAACAGGGCAGACTTTGAGGATATTCCTTCGGCTTCCAGTTCACTCTGGCATTTCCTATCCAACTTCAATGCAACAACCACTCTGGCAATAGAATCAGTATCATCCACAGGGAACAGACGAGGCTCGAGAAGCTGCAATAGTGCATTCTTGCCATCCGTATCCACATGGGAAATGTCCAACTCAACACACAAATTCCTCAACTTCTGAACGCTAAGCTTACGCAAAGCGGACTTCGACGCTGGCACCACCATGGCGAAAACAGATAAGGGATTCAGTTAACCAAAATCATTAAAAAATCATTTCAAATCCCGATCGTTGCCGGACGCAGTGCCAAGTGTGAGCGCATACACTGCGAACGGCTGCTATATATACTCGTACCATACACTGCACGCTGACCATTAGAATACTAACAGACCGAACAGACCACTGCGTTCCGCCCACCGTCACCAGGTCCAATAATATACAGATTATTGCCATAATCTTTCCCCATAAAATAACAAAACTTGCTCGATAAGATGCCTACTACTTAAATTCTTCAGGCTGACATGTCTGGATTAATTTTCTCACATATTTCTTAATAATGATGAGTTTCGATTGTGGAATAGTAATGCTGATTTGCAGGCGTTCTAAGCAAATTTTCCCTAAAACTTTTCTGTGCTCGCTTGCTTATCAAGAATTCAGTACCGCCTTTGAATTTTGCCTGGTTTTATGAAGCAGGCACCTATCTCTGGTATTGCGGATTTTTCTGCAGGGCTTGTATTGCCCGCACCTCACTCTCACCCGAGCATTTAAATACATGAAATACAAAATGCAAAAATAACCGTAAGGTACTCTGCAACCAGGTTTTTATTAAATTATTCACGATATGTTGAGTCAACCACATACAAGTACGAATGTTAATATACCGCTTGTGTAGCCAGCTTGCACATGGTCCCAGCGATTTTTACCATGTACAAAGGAGGCTCCAAAAGTAAGTTTCCTTATTTTGTATCTCCCGGCCTGAACGCTTTTAGTTCTTATGAACCATATTTTTATAAACGTCCTTCATTAACGAACCGAAATAAAATATAACTCTATCTAACTACAATCAAATGGAGAAGACAAAGCCGTTCAAGGTTTTCGGCACTTTGCAACGGACTTTACCCTGATAGTTTTTATTATTTTTCTCAGGCTTCTGCTCACTTTTCGGAAAGCACAAAACAATCATCAGATTAAGAATTCTTTTCTGTCCTAATTCCAAGTATGAAACAAAATAACTTCTTGAAAATGCTTTTCCAGAAATGTAAAAACTCTCGATGACTAGGTGGAAAAACCACAGAGCTGCTCAAGGTGCCAGACGGTAAAAAATCGAAAATTTCTTGTAATTAAACATTATTGTTGTCGGTACAACTTGAAGTTATTTGTGTCCATGCATTGCCGTTGCTCTAGGTGTGCGAGAGGAATGAATGAACATTCCTCTCTTACAGGAATGTTCATTCATTCCTCTCGTTCTGAGAGGAATGTTCATTCATTCCTCTCGCACACCTAGAGCAACGGCAATGGTCCATGACGCGTATGACTGCGCATGAAATTCCCTTTTTATTGATGCCGAGATGGATTCATATCAGTAAGAAGGCTGAAAAGAGGGATTCCGGCGTCGTGGAGAAAAGAAATGTTTCCTCTACTCCGTAAATTTTTCAAACCATTCTGTTATTGCCTTAATATTAAGAACAGTATTTGTAGCTGCTACTTTAAATTTGTTGTCGAAATTACAACAGGGCTGGAAGTGGTAATAAAACGAACGAGCTTCGAAAAAACTCGTCGAAATGAATGTATAAGTAGCATTACTATACTGTTTTTCGTTTTCCCATTTCTTCATTGAATCATTTGATTCTTATTTCTTTAATTAGTTTACATATGTGCTTATACAACAAAAAATATATCACATTTCTATTACTTCAAACAGCAGGGAGGCAAAATAGGGAAACTTTTTTTGGAGCGTCCTTTGTATAATAAGTAACAAAGCACCGCACTTCCGGTCCATATTCTAGATTGCAGTCTTGTTCCGTTGGCCTATATAACGGCACAGTAAATGCC